AAACCATCCTTGAGAGTTATTCTTTATGCACAACCCTCAGTTGGTACAGTGGCAATACACAAACACGCTGCAAACAATGCGTTCGCATTTGGAAGTCTTTGTGTGAGCTACTGTTGAGATTTATTAAGTACGAAATTAACGTTAAGTGCTTCATGGAGATAGTACCGACGAGATAAACCGTGAATTGTTCGTAAGTAAGAATTCTGATGGATGACCTGTTTAAATCAACACATGGATTCTTGGGAGCAGTAGTGCAGTGTCTAAAAACCGCTAGTCAATGCGCTCTACAGTTCAGTGTGTCATGCACCCTTTGGACGGGGCCAAAGGTCCAAGGTGCCCTATACACCTCGATACCCAATGGAGAAAGTAACCACTGTCACAACCAGAAAGCTGTTGGTGAGTGTTGTTTGTGGGGACTCTTCTGGATGGTATCGGATCGGGGTGTTTAGCCAACTCCCTTAGGCCANCCAACTCCCAGTGGTTCATCGACCTGGATGCAGCCCCGGATATTGTCAGTCGCTCCAAAACTGACCAAAACTGACAACATGAATTTTGCCTGATCAATAAAGTATTCAAATGAATTTATGAACACGGAATGGCGGTCGCTTTCGGTTCTCAAACACCAGTCTATAAATGTTCTGCTCAGTAACCGGCTTTTGGGCAAACGGTGATTCATTTTATTTTCGTACACCAGCTAAGGAAAAATTAAACGAATGATGGACTTTCTACAGCATTTGTGCGGTGTTATAGAAGCAAGAAATCCAGAATACCCCATCTCAAAATGTGCATTTCGAGCGAAAAAATACAACACAACCGAGAGAACCATGGATCATCCTCAGACCCACTAATCCGTCTGACAATATGAGCATCTTCGGCTGATATGTCCACGTATGGTACCACCTGGAAATTAGACTGTGTTGCGTAATTCATTCTGTGGGGAGGTATACCGAATACACATGGTTCCTGAGATGCACGAAGCGTGTGGTTGATGGAATAACTTTGCCGTTAAATGATTTACAGTCGTTCGTAACCAGTTCTCGATTCGCATACAGGTATTGGGGGACGCATAATGTGTGTTTGCAGTTGTTCTAATTCTTTCACTCAACTTGTGATGTTCGGCAGATAATAGAAGACAAACGAGGCTTCTCTGAAAGTGTTCATGCAATCTGAATAGAAAATCATTGAAGGAGTCACTCTGTATATAAAACAATATGCTCTCCCTATATATATGCTGTATTGCACACGTGTGTTCGGACAACCGGACACGCAATGCTGAGTTTAGGTACAGATTTTGTGTGACAGCATTCGCCCTCTGGTGTTTGATCTCCACAGATTATGTCAACTGCAGCATGTGATAATTCAGATCACCAAATAGGTTCCCACGGCCTGTAATTTTAAGCGAAACTATTAGGTTTTGACAGAAGAATGAGGGCGGTCAAACAAAACTCTGGAGGGATACTGAGACATTTATTTTGAGTACGGCTCCCCAGTTGGGAACCTCGGGTTCAGCCTAATCAACGGTTGAAAGCCCTGAAAGGTAGAGCTAAGTATGCTAACCAGTGGCCATCTTAAATCTTTGCAATCCTCTTGAATTACCCATCTTCTGATTGATACTGATTTCACTAGTCTAATCTTTCATTTAAACATTTCTTACAAACGGGTAGCTACAGGAGGGTGACCGGAACCGCCATATGAAAGTGCATAGGTCATGGCTGTGCAAAACGGAAGTGAAACGGAACCCTTTACTGCGCACGTTTAATTAAAAACTCCGACAAAGTAAAGTGAAATCAGTTATTAAGATCATCAATCAATTACAGGATGTCCATGGGACACAGTGTGCTTGCCAAAACAGACCTCAGTTGGCAAGCACTGATGATTTCACCTCGGATGGTGATGAAATGTTTCAAACAAATTGCCAAGCTCGGCGAACAGGCGAAGGTGACTTTTGGGCGACTACAATAATGACTAATTTGGTCAAACACATCTGGGATTTCATGCAATCAATCCAGTGGAACAAATGTGTAGCTACCACCTACCTTGGGAGAACAGTAAGAAATAAAAATAAAAGGACGGTCAGGAAGCTTTTGAAAAATCCGAGGAAGCATGGCGCCGGTTGGAGAGTTGTTCTTCGTAAACAAACCATTTTCCGTTTGTGTCCTGTCATCTTCAGCTAAAACGTCCGATCTCATGTCGGAAATACGGTTGATCCCACCAACTTAGCCCAACAACGGGAATATTCCTAGCTAGGAGTAATCATGCTC